ACATTAAGTTCATATTGTGCTGAAATCTCTGTCAATCTCTGTGCAGAAAGCTCAGTCATTCGTGAAAAGACAACAGTTTTTGCACGGCGCCTCGTCTTGATTCTTTTGTGTTCGACTACTGGGAAGAATTTCGCAAATCGACTATTGGATTATAGTCTTACCTTTCACATCCTGGAAGGAATTTTCGATATGTGAAGTTTAAAACTGTTAAATAAAGATTTTATCAAGAAGTGTCGCCGCGACGCGCTCAATAAATTTACATAGAAATCTATGGGGCTTAGTAATCTGGTCTTGAAAGTCCATGCCTACCCAAGAAAGATGGGCGCCGAAACTGTCACCTAAACTATTGATAAATTACTGAAGCACATTGAGCTAATTAAAAGAATGACACTACACCTTTGGTTTGGCACAAGGAGAGGTTTTATTTCTCTACCCAAAATAGGAGGGTACAATAAAAAGACTACAAATGAAATTCTCGTACGGCCGGCCACGGGAACTGAGATGCCAAATACATTAACGTCGTGAAGTGTTCAAGACGAGCGTGTTTCTCACTAGCTGAGACTGAACGTAGCCCGAGAATAGTGGAATAACCGGCCGCAAATTCAGCCAACGATAAATCATCGTAAGTGACATTCTTTGAGATGTAGGACAGAGCGAGGTGACTGTGCGGCCATAACTGGGGAGCGATAACCGCACTCGTCAGCTTTGCCATCTTCCCCGAGCGAATCTCACCTCGTTGTTTACGTGGTCTGGAGAACTCTGGCTCGTCGACCTCGCCATCAGAATCACTCTCTGCCGCCAATCCCAAGCGCTGTAACTCTGTGGACACCTGCGCCTGCAATGCCGTGTTGTGTTGTAACGAAGGCAAAGATACGGGATCCACGTTAAAAGACACTCCTCGACGAGTCGGCACATTGACCCTGCCAGGACGAAGACGCGCCTCTCGAAGCGACGCATTTTCTAATGTTAGCGACTCGAGCTCTTCCTGCAGACGCCGCACCTCGTGTTCGTGTAGAAGAGAGTCACGTTGTTGTCGGGCTTCTGCAATGGACTGCCTAAGCGCATCGGCCTGATCATGAGGACTTGCGAGACTCTTGCGATGGAAGATCTTTCATCTACCTCGCCTGAGCCAGGCACTGGAGATCTCAGAACAACAACTTCGGACAATTCCGACTCCTGACCTGCCTCGTTCAGCTGGGCGTAATCCACCCGTGGGCGAGAACGAAGACTTCTTGATGACATAACAGATAAAAACGCTTCCACAACTGAACAGTACTTGTAAAATAACTATCTGAACTACACGTGCAGAATCCTATGATATGTAATGTTTACAACATGAGCGGCCGTGTTGTATGGGAAATTACAATCTCGAGCCGCAGGCGAGAGATTGTAATTCCCATACAACACGGACGCGAATGTTGTAAACGACTTATAAAACTCCAACACAAATTAACATGAATTACAGTGAGATAAATGACGAAAAAAGACAAATAAGGTAACTGCTGAGTTTAGTCCCTATTAAGCATGCACAATTTACTGCAACACAGAACATTTTGAATAATTATCCATCCCACATGGAAAGCAAGCCATCTGTTGCATAAGCGAGTTCTGTTATCCGTCTTTGATTGCTTCAAAACCTAGTGAAGGTCTATGATGCGACACTAAAACTGAGACCTTTGCTAGTGTTGGGTTGTCTCAATGGTGACGACCGTGTTGTAAATCTGATACAACCACTAGTGGTTGTATCAGATTTACAAGGTCAATCACCTGATTAAATGGTCAGCCCTTATTGGAGCAATAGCTTATGCATTATTAATAAGTTTTATAAAACCTGATATAAGTATTATCAAATTACATATCCCATGATGCTCAGTAATTAGGCTTTTTGAGTGAGCCCAAAATAGACCAATGACGCATAATTTCAAGAGTATCAATTCTTATCAATATGTTATTGCTGATCATATATGATGAACAATTGTCGTTATTGAAGAAGTTTTCAGCCTAAAGAAAATCAAAATAAAACAGAAATAAAATGTAGATAAAGATTTATTTATCTCATTGTTCTCTTTAAACTCTTCAAGACTCTAAAGTATATATTCTGATATATTTTTTATATCTTTCAGGGATGAATCTATATATCATCGCGTCAGGAGAGCACGCCAGGAAGGGCATCGCTGCGACAACAGTAATGTAAGTAATAATGCACTATTAATTATTTCACGAGGCTTTTTTTATAGTGAAAACATTTATTAACATGTGTTCATTGTATCTACAGCGTGAACTCATTTGCAGAGATACACTTACTTGCGAAAACGTTGTCATAGAAAAAAGGACATTTGTATTTAGTAAAAAGTAATAAATTGAAAAAGACAAAAGAAGATCACTGAAGCTGAACGCTCTCTTTTGCTTTGTTTTAATTTATTCCTTTTTACTAAATTCAAATGTTTTATTTTTTGTATGACAACGTTTCTGCGTCATAATTGTATTGCACATCTATTATGTATCAGATAGTAAAAAATGAATGCAAAATTTAAAAATTTAAAAATTAATAATAAGAACAAAAACTGAAGTCAATACTGTTCATTCAGTTTTTTGTTTTTGTTTGTTTTGTTTGTTGTTGTAGTTGTGTTTTGTTTTTGTTTTTTCATTACGTTGTTTTTTTATTCGACAACACCAGGAAAACGATAACCTGTAGCTACTCTGCCGCATACACCACTATTCCTCACTTTGAAAATCGATTAGACAGGGGTGGATCTAGCATTTTTGCAGACTAGTTTCCAACTTGAAAATTGTTTTAGTGACATATCCCAATTAATGAATATTTAGACATGAATATTTATAACATCGGCATGAAGAAACCAAATGTTTATTTAACTGACTGCAAATGATGCGAGTCTAATAAACTGATTAAGCCGATTCAGCCAAGTTTTAAACATGTACAAGGGAGGACAATGCGCGGTAGATTTCACGAAGCGACCACAGCTACCGAATACTCCAGTTTTTAATTATCATTTGTGCAAGCTTTATAGCTTCAATCAAGCATAGATTTTTATTGTCTTCTTTGTTGACAGCGTGTTTGCATTACAATAGGATCTCTGCTTAATAAAAGAATATATTACATGCTTTCGAGGTTAAGGCTGCACAAATAAGATATCGAAACTGGAGTATTCCAGAAATTGTATTATCAATCACCTAACTGTGTATAATGTGTAACTTATTCGGTTCAAGTGTTTTCATTGTTTTGAATCATCTTGCAATTAAGCACGATCTAAGAGTGTTCACATGAGGTCGAATGAGACCGCGATCCCATTGTAGTGGGAATTTCGACCCTTGAACGCTTTCACGAGTGGTTTGACACATTCCGACACAAGAATAACAGATTCAAACAGTGTTGGTAACAATTCCGGTTTCGATCGTTTCTCGATTCGCTTAGAATTGTCATAAGTAATTCGAACACTGATTTCCCTCAAAATCCGTTGCTAACTGAATGACACGAAGAAGTTTGCCAAAGACAAAGAACCTTAACAGGGTAGGGTAATTACTGGATTTGCCTGGTTTCTGACTAGTTTCTGGTACGCTCCTATCCCTCTCTCGTACAAGTCAAAGCTCGATTCTGATTGGCTAACATTAGCATTCAGGATTCCTGTATGAGCGATTCAGGGTACCTGCGTGAATCACTGCTGGGTGATTGATTTGCGACCAGGCCTGCATATGAATTCGCYAWDGTTGTAAGCCAGTGAGCCCGTGCATTTTTGTTAAGCGGTCATATTTGAAAGTGTAAATAAAGAAAAGGGAAAACCCACAGCTCGCCTTTCACTCAGACAAACAGTACAAGTCGTGTAAAATTTATTTACATAACTAAACAAAATGATTATAGAATTAAACCTTTAAGAATTGAATGCTCATATGAAACATTTTCCACCTTAAATACACACGTGTTTTTCAGAAGGGAATTTAATAGAACTTTTTTCACAATGGAATTTTGTTTTGAGTCGTTTCGACATAAACAGTCGCTATCAAGACATTACACGAAAAACCCCAGTCGCCGTTCTAGCTCTCGTTGTAAGGTCAAAGCTAGTAAATTTCTAAATCACCCAGTGATGACGTCGAAAGAAACTAGTTCACTGCTCACGCGATAGTCGGACAGCATTCCAGATTCCAGATTGGCTTTCTTTAGCAACCTCGTCCCCAGGGTCTCCCTTCTCGCTACGCTGGGGACGAGGTTGTTTCTTTAGATGGGTCCCCTCCCACGTGACAAAAACAGCTAATAATCAAAGTGGGTTTCCTGTGGCAAGTTGTCAAAAGGCGTCTAGAACGATCGTATATCGTATCGTATACCGTATAACGATCGTATATTTGTGTTTTGTATTTTATTTGAACTGTCGCTTTTTATTATATTTTTGGGAAAAATCTGACTAGTTCCCGGAAACTAGGTGAACTAGTCTAAATCCGGCTCTGTTAGACGTAGAAACCACTTGTTTCAGTAATAACCGCTCGTCATGGAAAATGACTGGAATTCTTTAAAAGAACGTAATGTTGATGTCCAGCTGAGAAACTTCGAAATTTGATGCTGGAACGTTCCCAGGAAACACACGTGCGTTTACACTACATGAACGTAGTAGTTATACAAATCATGAGTTCAACAACAATCCCTTGGGAGAAAAAACCTTTGCCGCCACCAGAATACTTGCGTATGTTCACAGATAATGGAAATATAAATCAATTAACAGAAAACGGTATTGAAACTTTAATCGTTATTGACGGAAGTTCGATCAACTCCGAAATTAAGTTATTAACCAAAGTTTACGAGGAAACTTATAAGTGAAAGTGAGAACTATATAAAAAAATACATTTATTTTCGAAAATTGTGTTACATTTGTGTCAAATCCTTATAAACTATAACAAATACAAAAAGATTCGTGCGTATGTGGACGTTATGTTGATACTGCACTGTARCTTTCAGCGCGACCATCACGGWAGAAAAATCCAGTCTACAAAAAGAAATTACGAGATTTGTTAGAGATAGCATGTTTGGTTGGTTGGTTGGTTGGTTGGTTGGTTGTTTATTTATTTATTTATTTATTTATTTATTTATTTATTTATTTATTTATTTATTTATTTATTTATTTATCTATCTATCTATTTATCAATATATTTATTAAGTATTTATAAAATATATCAGAAATTATGGGATATCATCGGCACTTTCTTAAAACAACATTGGCCCATCAACATTTTATATGTACTTTGAATATGAGTCAAAAAGATCATAATTTCTGCATATTGCTGTATTTTTGGTTTATCTACTAGAGTGCTCGTCACATATTAATGAAATAACTAAAGTGCAAGGACTAAAGCATTTACTGAACAAGGCCCTGTTTACATGAGATAGGGTGCCCATATATGGTAGGGCTTTTCTTTTCCCTGGAGGATTGAAAACAAAAGAGTTTGGCTCTACACCTACGGGCACCCTATCTCAYGTAAACACGGCCTAATAGTATTAAATTCAAAAGTAGTCGTTTCCTATGTTTTCTATTATTGTCCAATCYAAACTACTTAGTGCTCTTGAGCACGATTTGTTTAGAGTGATCGCACTTAATAATGTAACCGTGCAACTGTACAAAATCTAAGCAGTACTAATTTGTACTAAAAGTGGACATGAAGCAAGACGGTWTTGAATGCTCCATTCGTATCAATTCATTTGATTTGCGTACGGCATACATGATTTACTAAATACAACTAAATAGCACTACTTAGTTTGTACAGTTGCACGGATGAAGTGCGATCACTCTACTGCATTTTTATGTTTTCACTCGAGTTACTTCACAGCAAACGCAGGAAAGCCATGAAATAAAATCAAACTAAATGCTAACAAATAGACTTCTGAACCTTTTACGTCACTACTTGATTTTCAATGCATTGTGGGATCAGTTTCAAGAGAAARCAAAAGAAATCCGCCATGTTTTGTCCTAAACATGTCCTACAATGCATTGCGTATACGGTATATGACGTAAAAGCTGCAGAGGTCTATTGCGGCTATTTAGAGACAAATTGTCAGTATCAATAAACCAGAACACAATAAAGATGAATGTACATGGGACCATTTTTCATTCATCTTCATTGTGTTCTGGTTCTGCCGCTATTTGGTAGTATTTAGTTTGATTTTAYTTCATGGTTTACCTGTGTTTGCTCTATAAGTTATATAATCTATTCATCTATAATGCTCATTTTTTCTGTTRGAGTGGTTTTCATAAACCCGTGAAACAAAGTGTAATGATTAGAGTGTAATAGATCGTAATAGTCGCGTAGAGACAATAAAAAACAAAAGAGTCAAAGTGTAATCGCGATAAATACACTAAAGTGTGTTTCACGGGTTAATGAAAACCACTCTATGACTGAGTCCAACTAAGGCATGTATTTCATGAGTTTTTCTTATATATTTTACTGTGCATATTACTTACCGTATCAGTACCCGAGCGCTCTCGACTTCTTYTTCTCTTCACCTAGGAAAAGTCCAACTAGTGTAAGTAACATGATTGAAGATTCAATTGCTACTAAATACTGTAGAATAAGGTAAGAGAGGATTTCCTCGCGTTATTACCACATCGTCAAATGTTAGGAATGCTACGCATATTCTTTGGCAGTAAATGTGTTGATGCTAAGGGCCTGTTCACACTWCGACATAAGCATGTCGAAAAAAAGAAAAGAYAAAGRAAAAGCARGTAACATAAGGCAGAGTATAAGCTAATMAAAGACAAAGAAATAAACAGAGAAAAACACCTTCCTTTTTGTCTTCTTAATCCTTAAACCCTTTGTTTATGAAGCTTGTGTGATTATGTTGCAGTGTGAACTGGCACTAATAAGCGGTCGGTTGCCTTTTTAGAAAGGTGTTTGTTGGTTGGGAAAGACTTATGTTTCAATCAAAAAAGTGTGCAGCGACGCCATTTTTTTTACAGCAAATTATGATGGGAGTTGTAGTTCTCTCACTGTTTGTTGTCCCTAAAGCCTTCTATATGTTTTCCTTGTAGATAAGGTGCACAGGTGCTTGACACAAAAAAGTGCTAGGACTACAAATCCCATCACTTGTTTGTGTGCAATATACACCTAATTGAAAAAACGTAGTCGTGTCCGAAAAGGTCACATCATAGAAGCTAAGACCGAAAGGGATTTTGAGTACACTATCATACTCTAACTAGTGAGATAGTGTACCTAGTGCGGTACACTATATATATACGGTGTTCAACATGGTGCACGGTAAAGCAACTAGAGCTAGTAAGATTAACAGCATGCTAGTCTTTTATGCTGGAGAGCTGTTTGTATGAAATTAGCCAAATTGTTTGTCTTCCCAAGTACCCCTTCGGTCTTAGCTTCTATGATTTGACCTTTTTGGACCCGACAAHGTTTCTTCAATTAGGTGTATCTATCACTTCAGGAGGTGTCTTGACGGTGTAGTGTATCGATAGTTTTAACGTACCACAACTACGATAACAGCGACAATAACAATTGCAAGGGCAGCAAACACACAGATCAAAACGATGGTTGTAGTACCGAGTCCACCTTCTTTCCCGGTCGAACTTTGAATGGATTTATAGTTGGCAGAGGCTTGAACCAATTGTGGACTGGCCACAAATGACATACCAGCATATTTTATTACAATTCCATTTTGGCGGACCTGAATAGATATAGTACTAGTGAATTATGAAATGCGCCAACWCAAAACGTYGAACGTCAATGSCYGCGTGTTTTTTTGCTCCAGTGAATCAAAACCCTAAATTTCACCGAATKTCRAGAATCCTCCCTCAAAACCGAGCGAAATGGAATTCATGTCCGAAATTCGTTCGATTTTGGAGAAGGACTTTCAGAAGTAGTTCGTTGAAYCGTTTTAGGCTTTTGATTGACAGCAGAAAGTGTTGCGGCTAACAGCAGACCATCACTTGAGACTTAAATGTACCTTATTTGYAATACTTTSCGCCATTTGTGAAAAYGTTTTTTKGACAGGTTTTGCGCAAGTGAGCCTGTTGTCTAGTTAAACAGCGTTCACTCGCTTTGAACWGAAATAAGACATTACCTCATCTTGAACGTATTGAGCAAAGTTYTCAATATCTCTTCCACCATCAACACGTACGACGTAAAACTTAGCAATGACGCTCCCACTAGTGACCTGTTGATATTATAACATTTTCAAAGCAAATTCGTCAAATAAYAAGCTTTACTTGAAACTGTTATACTTACAGACATCTCAGTGATTTGTTCTTTTTTGAGGCCAAGTCGCTTTGACAGTTGAGTCGTTAACGTTCTAGACAAAAAAATATTGTTATTGAGTGTTCACACATGCGAATGTTCGCCATATGCCAAACTGAAAAAAAAACCTCGGTTTCAAAACGTTGGTCAGAGGTAATCTAAAGCCGAACGAAGGCAAACAAGGGAAGAAATTTATCTTAAGTTATGTTTAAAACTGAAAACTGTCAACATTAAAATATGGTAGCCTCCCCTACGAAAAGTGCAAACATGATTTAAAATTCATCGGCTTTGACGATGTTAACTTTTGAACCTGACAAGATTTATTTTTTAACAGACCTCTGAAGCTTTTACGTCATGTACCGTATACGCAATGCATCATAGGACATGTTTGGGACAGAAAATGGCGGATTTCTTTTGCTTTCTCTAGAAACAAATTCCGGCCACAATTCATTGCAAATCAAGTAGTGATGTAAACGTTTCAGAAGTCTTATTAGGTATATCTGTCAACCTGGTAAAATTTTCAATAGTATCGTTGATCGTCTCGAAGTCGTTCTTGAATGTAAGACTGATGTAAACATGACTAGAGAAAAAGCGATAACAAAAACAATGAAAAAAAATCAAAGAAAGATATATATATATATATATCATCAAATGGCACTAAACTGTCTACTTACATGATATCCGGAGCTTGGTTTCCATGGGGACAAAATGAA